TTTTAACGAATATTTTTGCAGGACAAAAAATATTCGCATCCATTCAGTTCCCTGAGCGGGGCGTAAATTCATAAATATTTTACATTACTTCCAGTAGTATGTTATTACTGACAAAGACAAGGGAGACTGGAATAGTGATTTCTCGCTTATTAGCCGTCGTCAGCCAGTCATACCCAACCTCGAAGTGTGGAACACCCGAGGCTCGAGTTCTCGACCTGTTAGTTAGAAGTCCACGCCTCTAGCCACTGGGCCACGAGCCCGTTCGCCTGTCGGTTTCGATCGGGAATATACAATGGTAGGGGGCGACCACCGCTCATTCTTACGGAACTCACTCGTTCCGTTGTGTCTTACGGGCTCTCTCTCGAACCCAACCAGCAGCCGCACAGTGGCGCATGATATAGGCAGTATGTGGATCAGTGACCCCAGTGGACCTCTAACTAACAGGTTGCGAGTTCGAGCCTCGGCTGTTCTACACTTCGAGGTTGGGTATGACTGGCTGACGAAGGCTTATAGGCCAGAAATGGCCATTCCAGTCTCCCTTGTCTTTGTCGGTAATATCAAAGTAAATAGTGTCTTGCCGAGTCTGTGTATTTGACTTCCGTTTTGGGCACGGAAGTCACGGACTCGTGGCCCAGTGATTAGAGGCGTTGGACTTCTAACTAGCAGGTCGCGAGTTCGAGCCTCGGGTGTGTCACACTTCGGGGGTTGGGTATGACTGGCTGACGACGGCTAATAAGCCAGAAATGGCCATTCCAGTCTCCCTTGTCTTTGTAGGTAATATCATTCTGCCTTCATCATGCGCTGCTGTGTGGCTGCTGGTTGGGTTCGAGAGAGAGCCCGTAAGGCACAATGGAACGAGTGAGTTCCGTAAGACCGATTGGTGAGCGCCCCCTACCATCATTACTTCCAGTGTTAGTCAAATTTTGCGCCGATGACATTCTGGATTAAACTGCCAGGTTCCAGGGTTGTGCAGCCAAGCACTTTTTCGGCACGATTTCCCTTCTACCCATATGAGGCTCCATTTTAAATGAGGAACCATGCCGTTGATTTCATAAGAAAGTTCGCCTCAAGAGTCTTCTCTGTAGGTCTTTAGAGAGGGCGCTACAGCTATCTGCGGAGTGCGTACGACCCAGATCTCAGAGTTTCTGACTGTCGAAAGAACGTGCTTCTGTTTCCCATCCGAAACGCGCCGTCCCGCCTAATCACCGCCAAAAGCAAATGTACATCCAGGGAATTAGCATGGGTCAGTCAACCAACCGTAGTCATCCACGCACTAGTAGATCAATCAGTTAATTTTCCACCAAGGTTTAGTCCTGCAGCTCCACCTGAGTGATTCCATATCGTTAACTTTTTAGGAAAATTGTGTTAGGCGTGAAAAAGCTGACTTTACAAGTATCCCGTATTTGCATCTTAATCACCATTTTAATCCACCGAGTGACTGTGCCAACGGAAGGGGGGGGGGTGAGTCCTTATACGCTAGCCTCGGTTACTTCAGACATCCGTTCACACACTGTTCCCTCTGCGTGGTTCGAGCCCTACTTGCGCTCTCTTCGTTATCCTAACCCAGCGAGTGGCCAAGTAGACTTGATAATGGAATTGTTCGGACGGTGTGGAACTCCGTCGGTTCCGCTACGGTGGCCATGCATTGCGAATTACCACGCGGTTCCCTCCGTGGCCTTCCAGTTGTGATTGGTGCCCTCCTTATCCTCTGCATCCAGCGAGTGGCTGTGCTGGGATGGGGGGGGGGGGGAATGTGTGTACACACCACATCCACTCGCATCCCTGCGCTTGCTTCGAGCTCTGCCTGCGCCCTCTCACCCCATCCTAATCCAGCGAGTGGCTAAGTTAGGCGTTCAGAAGATGAAGATGCGATCACTGGAACAAGAAGTTTATTTGCCTGACGTTTCGGATTCTCACTCGAATCCATCATCAGAGACATTCGCAGATAGAGGCGAAGGTGGCACCAGGAGTGCAGTATTTATAGCACGTGGCTGCCGTGGGACCGTATGCGCACTGCAATTAACAGTTCTCACAATCGCCGCTGGGGTCGGAATTGATGCGATGGTGGCTTGGCGGTCCGAGTCCGAGTCGTTAATGGCCGCGATTTCGTCATCCGTGCTCGATGCTGGTGTGACGATTGCTCGGCAAACTGGCTCACTGTCACCATGATAATTGCTCACCCGCGCCCTCCCCACGTGACTGATTCTCCTGCCCAGGGAAAATCGCAGTACGCTATAGGGTACCGGGAGGTCATTGTGCTTGTTGATGGATTGCGGGCCTGAGAACCATGACTCGAGCAGCTCGCGGTTCACGCGGTTGTCACCCCTTGCGAGGATTTCGGCCTCTTGAAATTTGAAAATATGGCCGGGTCCCGTCGAGTGTGCCGCCACCTGAGAGTTAGCGTCTCCCCGCCTCACTGCTGTTGCGTGCTCGGCAATTCGCGTACGGAGTAATCTCCCAGTTTCTCCGACATAATTGCTCTGTCCGCAACTACACCAGATCCGGTAAATGACTCCAGACGTGTCCTACCGTGGCAGCGGGTCTTTTGGCCTCATGATTTGGCGTCTAATGGTTGCTTCCGGCCTGTGTGCAACCCCAACTCCAAGTGGAGTGAGAAGACGACTGACGGCTTCCGAGACGTTCTTCACGTACGGAAGAGCCCGCCAAAATTTGGGTCCGGTTGGATTTGGTCTCTGGTGTCCTTTTCGTATGCACTGCTTGACAAAGTTGCGCGGGTAGCCATTGGCTCTCATTACCCACCGAAGATATTGTAATTCAGCAACCTTGTCTTCCATTTCACTGCACTGCGTCTCAACACGCCGGTATAGCGCCCTTACGCAACTGCGTTTGTGACTGATCAGGTGGTTGCTATTGAAGTTCAGTATTTGTGTCGTATTTGTCGCTTTCCTGAACACTTTGGTTTTGCCACCTTCACCTCTGATGATGGATTCGAGTGAGAATCCGAAACGTCAGGCAAATAAACTTCTTGTTCCAGTGATCGCATCTTCATCTTCTGAACTGCTACCTGGACCTCGCCTGTTCGCTTCTATCAGTAAGTTGGGCGTGTTAACTACTATTGCTTAAGGAAGCTAGCCGTATGCTATCAGTAAAGTGGGGCTAGAGAGCCAAACCTCGCCAAATTTTCAAAGCCAACACCGTTGAATGCACTCAGGGACTACGTGGGTGCCGCAAACCCCCGCGCGCCTGGACTTCACACCCACACCAACTAACGGTGATTGTCCTAATGTTTATCCGTTCAGAAAGCCTTGAGGAATGTGAGTTTCTGCTATGCCATGATCAGCGAAGCATGATCCTCACCTGCCTCCCTGCCAGTAGAGGCACCTGCGCTCCCATTGGGTGTACGGGTCGTGGGCATGCTTGCCAGTAATCCTTGTTTTTCCGACCCCATTTTTGTGCTGTTGGTTAAAATCCTGATCAAGTGTTTGTTGTGAACCAGAGGGCGTGTTGCGGGTTTACGCCGTGTCAGATGCCTGTGTCCCCTCTCGCTTCCGGTCTTCTTGACACTGTCTTTACACCGGCCCCATGTGGAGAGGAGAGAGTGTGGTAGATGCTGTGCAAGTATACTCTAATTACAAACTAATTCACGCGCAAGTCACCGTATTTGCTTCGCCTTGTAGTGGAGCAGACGGTGGACATCGTCGGTCGGACTGTCATCTGTTCAGAAGCCCCAATGATCTGAGACCATATCCTGTCCCCCTTGTTAGGCCAGAAAGAGAAACCTGAGGATGTGGAAAAGTCTATTCTTTCAGCTCGGCATACTGTAATACTGTATGCTAAAAAAACTTATAAATTCACAAACAGGAGTCGGCTCCAATGCGCCCCAGTGAAAAAAATTGCTAAAGCGTTGGAACATCTGACCTGATAGCTTCCTGAGAAAGGACTTCAAAAAGGAAACAAAATAAAAATAAAGAATTGAGCAAAGTACAGCAGTTGGAAGTCTTCTTCATCTTCCACCGCTTTTTTTCAATTTCCTCCTCCCCACGCCTGTGTGAATGATAGTTTTCTAGGCATTTAAGTACGTCTGTCGCAAGATGTTGTCCGAGTGGGTCCCCGCGTGAATAATATTCACAATGTCCAGGTTTCTCAGGAGGTGACCGGAAAGGTCGGGATCATTGTCCAGTTTAATTATCGGCGCCAGCGCAGCATTGGCTCTGTGACAGAGTCCGGTATCAGTGGTCGTATAGGCGATTCGTTCGCCGCGGCCAATTAGGCGTCGCCATTCTTGTGAGGGTATGTTGGAGGGTCGCGGGATAATGCGATAGTTATTGATCGAGACAACTCTAAAATAAAACAATCGAGCGTACACCCAGGAAGTGGAGAAGAATGTCGTTCTAGGAGGAAATGACTGAGTTTCTACCGCAAGTCGCCAAAATACAGACAAGATCGTGGAGTCAGCAGACGATCTCACCCTCAATCCTGTCATCTTGGGCGCGGTTCTGGGGAGTCACATGGAGTGTTTTTCGTAGATCTATTCTACCTGATAAGGAATTACAGGCGCCCTAGCCCGTGAACTCTGGGCTCAACGATAAAACGAATCATCTGCGTTCAATCCAGTAACCATACCAAATGGTAAAACTGTCTCTCCACGTGACGTAATGTCCCCTCTAGCGGCCAACAGAACGGAGGTCTGACGACCAGTTAAATCAGGTCTTCTCGGCCTAGAACAAGACATGACTGAGTGATAATGACAGGGGGGGATTAGAAACGGTCGTCCAATTCTTCTTAATCTTTGTCGGTAGTACCCTCCCGTTACTGATCGGTTGCTGTTGTGCATCCGCCAACGCAGTGGATATCGGCGGAAACCCCCATACGACTCTAAAATAGATGCAGCCACAATAAGGATGTCCTTCAGCAGTCTAAATTAAACGCAATGCCCAAGGACGTTCCGCACTGACGCCTATGGATAGCGGGATCTTTGTGCATCGTCCTGTTCTTTCGTTCATTTTCAACGGTACGGCGAGGACGACAGTGAATGATTGCGCCGACCTTGCGTGCAGTAATTGTTCATAGGAGTGGTCGGCTGCGTTAGCATTGGTTGGCGTGGTAGAGGAGTTCAACACATCTGTCGACCGACCCAGAACCGAACTCCCACTCGATCACATCTCGGACTCGCGAGCTCACGGTTTGTCCAGTTACACTCATGGCAGCAAGTTCACAGAAGTGGCTTAGTTCTGGACTGCGTCTACAACCACGAGAGATCACCGGTTTCCTCTCGAACGACTATTTACGTTTCAGTTCACCTGGACAACTATTTCTCGTCCCCATTTAACCGGGAAGATTATAGGCGTCATAGGCTAGTGTGCAGACACACACCCTACTTTAGTAGGCATTTATGCGGAATTTAACTGAAAAAAATCATACTTGATGGGAGAGTGTAGATCACCATCCTGCAGTAGTCTTTTTGTCGACAACTATTCGTTTCTGTCCCTACGGCAGGGGCACTTTCACAAAACTCAGCGACAGATGAAAATTTAAAAATACACTTGTGGAGGGGAGGGTGCTGTGGGGAAGGACCGTAGTGGTACGTACTTGGTGGGGGGTAACTTCTCGCGGAAACCGCACTTTGCCAACGAGCGCTGCACCCGTCGACGAACCAGTCGGTTCACATAGTTACCGTAGGCGTTGATACGTTCGATGAGGTCGTCCAGAAGGGCCGGCTTACCCTTCAGCGGTTCGAAGTAGGGGTTCTGAACACGGGAGCGCAGAATCCGCCGCGCTTCCGACCCCGGTTCCCACTTGCGGGCCGCAGAGGCACTCTTGGTGAGGAGTCGAATAATGTTCCTTGTTGCACAGTGCGGGAGAAGGGAGGAAGGAGGCATTTAAAACCACACACTATACTGACCTTTATGGACGATTATGAAGGCTGCGACAAAAGATCTAGAGAAGAGGAACCCTGAGGCGCATGGTTAACTGATCAGAGAACAGTAAGTAGGCCGGAGTGTGTCTGCTGCGCCAAGACTCGGGCGTGACTGAGGCAGGCTGGTCTCTTGGTCGCCGGTACGGCCGTTTACTCACGCTGCCTTCCTGTCCGCCTCACACTCCCCGTCAGCCGATGGCCTTAACCGGTCGAGACTTGACACCGGCGGGGCCGAGGCTCGAAGAGCCAACCGACACTGTGTACTTCAGTATGTTATTACCGACAAAGACAAGGGAGACTGGAATGGCCATTTCCGGCTTATTAGCCGTCGTCAGCTAGTCATACCCAACCCCAAAGTGTGGAACACCTGGGGTTCGAACTCGCGACCTGTTAGTTAGAGGTCCACGACTCTAACTACTGGGCTACGAGCCCGTTGCCCTGTCGGTTTCGATCGGGAATATACAATGGTAGGGGGCGCTCACCACTGTCGGTAATAACATTCTGCCTACATCATGCGCCGCTCTGCGGCTGCTGGTTGGGCTCGAGAGAGAGAGAGCCCGTAAGGCACAACGGAACGAGTGAGTTCCGTAAGATCGATCGGTGAGCGCCCCCTACCACTGCGTACTTCGCCGACTGCCTGTAGACAAACGTAGCCAAAGCGCACACATAGGCGATGGGGGCTAAGAATCTCAACGCATGCCTGGTGAGAAGAGGCTTGCTGAGCTGTGTGTACACTCCCTTGCCAGCAGTAAAACATCTCCATCTAACTGTCCTCCCTGACTTTGGCTTTGAAAACACGCGTGTCGTGGCTCTACTTCGACATGACCAGCTTGTTAGTGACAAATCCATTAGTTGTGCACAGTGAGTAGTCTATCCAGGAAACGAAGATAGCAGTATCCCAACAGTTACAAACTAGTAAATAAAAACAAAGTCGTCAACAGGTAAACATTCACGTGCTTGTTTTTTGTCTCATTCAAAGTTGTGTCAAATTATTTAACAAAAGGTATTGTAACTGATTAAAACAAAACGGGCTTAAATGTCACTACAAGTTCATCCGAAATCTGGCATCCTGTGGTAACTGACTTATTATAGAATTACGCTGCACAATAATTAGTTTTGCAACCCTACTTAATTAATCTTTTCGAAATCGAAACTCATCTCTGAATTTCGGTTGACGTTTTATGAGTAAGCCCACCTACTGCATGTGAAATTATGGAGGTTGTTCACGAAGGCACGTAAGTCGGAAAAGGAGTCCTTCCAGTTCCTCTACCTCTTTTTTAGGAAACTTTGCAGCATTCTACTGGCGTTAGTGAATGGAAACGGAAAACTATGGAGAACTGCCTACTATATTTTTAAAAGTAGGTGTTGTTCCGTAGGACTTTTGATATGCCCCTCATCAGCAAAATGACATTCGCTGACCTGTACCGCCCCGGGGAGTTGAAATGTTCATACTGACTCATTTTTCTGGGAGAAAAGTTAATTTTTGAAAAAAAGTTCGGCGCGGAGAGCAGTCGGGTAGCAAAAAAATTCCCGGACTACGTACGTCTGCCACTAAAGCAGGAGTGATGGAAGGTTGGTAAACTTGTTAAGCGACAGTTGACATTTTCCTACCCCGCACACATACTTAATCCTTGCCGAATACTTTTCATAAAATGTGAAGATCCAGAGCGATTAAACGTTCCTTAGAGACAAACACAGATGTCAGTAAACTGGGCTTACAGTGTATTTCCAATTGCACGGAAATCAAGACTGATATGTCCATGTAAGCAGCCTAAAATTATATATATGGGAATTTATAGGCAGCTGTAAATGAAGCCATCCCGAGCGAAAGCCAGAGCAGTTGGCGGTTCGGTTAGATGAGTGCGCGCATAGATGACATCGCACGTCGGAAAACATATTCGCCCGATCCTCTATAACCAAGCATTTGCTAGAAAGCGGACAGTCCAATGACGTCAAAGTAGACTTCCAATTGCGCATTCGTGCAGAGACGCTGCCAGTTGAATGCAGTGTCCAGGCTTAGGGGCAAATACGACCAGTGAGCCAAGCTGGAAATTTGGAGTTGTCATGGTAATTCCAGGTGTTCTGATTCATACACCACCTGGTTTCTCAGAGACTACAGAAGTCTTGGGCTTCTCGGTCGAAGTCCTCCATTTTTTACCATATTTCTAATAATCATTTTAGAATTTGAAATATGACCTTGCTGGTCTTCCATAGTGAACAGTGGAAATACATCAAAGCTCCGTGCAGCGGTACGTCGCATCTGGTGAAAGGACGAAAAGAATTTGATGTCATTACTTTCCTTTTTTCAGTATCTAGGCTGGCTTACCTCCGGAATCTAATGGATTAATTCGGGCCCGTTCTTGCATGAATGTGCGCACATATGCAAAAGAAAAGGAGAAATCGATTTTTAGATTCAAAACAACCTTTCTACGGTGTTTCCAGCGTTCAATCGAGACCACTGTTATGAGTACATGAATTTGTATGGCCCACTTAAAATTCGAACAACTCCTCCGGGAATGACCTGAAGCCGTGCTATTGATGTGTGCTTGCTTTCCTTAATATTAGGACAGCAGATCGATATGCCTGTGGGCCAAGTCATGCTTTAAATGTCAAGTTTCGCGCGGAAGGCCTGAACTCCGGCGACCAATTTGGAAAAGGACCTGAAAGCAAGGATACATGGAGGCAAAATTCTCTGTCAGGCAAAAAGACGAACAGTCTCTGGCGGCCTCTTGTTCGTCCTCTCCAGGCGAAAACTTCACTTTCGATCATCGCAATACGACCCTGGGCCAATCAAATGACCCAATTTTACACCTTTCAGGAAATGTAGCACCCAACCAATGGCTGAGTCAACAGGCATGTCAGTCTGCTGCTGTCGTACCAAGTGCTGAGAAAACAAATCAACAGCGGGTTTGAGGGTCACTCCAGGCAAAGGTTTTCGAATCTTGTTCGAGTTCTACGTTTTCAGGTATCCTTGAGGGTGGGTTCGAGTGAGTACACGAGAAGTCGTACTTATGTTATTTTACACACAGAAATCCCCATCCCTTCTTCTTTTTCTTTCTCTTCTGCTATCTAATTACCGCCATTTACGATGTAGGTATTCATGCTTATGCACTAAAGGAACACCGAAAAAGGCAAGGGAGACCGGGGACTGGCCGTTTCCGACTTGGTAGTCGTCATCAGCCAGTCACACACAACCCCGGGTTTCTGAAACAGCTGAGATTCGAATCGGGAAACTGTATTCATTGGGTCGAACGCTCTAACAGTGAGCCAAGGGCCTTTTGTCCTGTCGGTTGCGATGGGGATGTAAATATTGCCAAAGACAACAGACCTATGACTCAGTGGTAGAGCTTTGGGCTTAATAACGCAGAATTTCCAAAAAAATTCCGGCTTAAATCCTACGTCCTGCAAGCTTGCGGCTGGGCAAGGCTGACTGACGAAGGCTTGTAAGGCAGAAATGGTCATCTCGGCCTCCCTTATCTTAATCGACACTCTTCCTGCTTCGTATGTATATATGTAGAAAATGGTTCATTTTACACCTAACTCACGCGTTACAGTCCTGAAAGGGCCCCATTTTTAGACCACCAGATGGAGCAATAATTTAGTTATCATAAGTGTATAGATTGAATTACGCGGGTTCATTCGCAGGGTACAAGTTGCTGATTAAATGCACAACACAAGCAAAAAGAGCTTTAGTTAACTGATACGGGTAGATTCGATACAATGACTCGGACAGATCTTAGAACATTTTTCCAGACGTAAAACGCTTACTTTGAAGTCTGGTCTTCGATTTTCTGGGCAGTCTCCACTTGTTCGAGTTTTTCCAGAATTCGTTGCTAAATGTGGTAAAAGGACAATTGACATAAAGCCTAAACAGTGTGCATAAAATACAAAAGTAATGTTGATTATGAGTTTAGAATGACATCTGAAAGGGCCCTGGTAGATCGTGGTTCCAACCATTTTCCCATTATCGTTGTCAATGATTGTTCTTCACTTTTGATCCCTCTACCGCGAGGTTTTTAGTGTGCAGGTCTGGAGGTGCCTGATCAAACTAACTTCCACAATGTTTGCACCGCGGAATACAGAACTATTTACTTATAGTGCTAAAGTAGCAATATAATTTAAAATATAATTTACCTTTCGAATCTTCTGCTTTTCCCGAATGTGCGCCCAAAACTCGGGCTGTCGAGTCATAGGCTTACGAGCTGGAATGTTTTCAAGCAGAGTGGTGCCACTCTCACTGCTGGGCTCGTCAAACCAGTCAGAGCCCAGTTCTGAACGACGTTTCGCGTCCGACCACTTTATGAGCTCGGCAGCTGTACTGGAAGTTGCCGCTTCTGTCTCCGCCTCGTCGTCGGCCTGACGTTGTAGTTGGCGTTTCCGCTGCACGGCGAGTTTGATGTCCTGTGGCGGAGCTAGACCAAGACATCCAAGGGAACTGAAGCCTCTAAGCAGGCCGTCGGCGATCCTAAGAAGGTATTCACCACTGGCCTCAATACTCACACCGGCACGAATAGTGTCAAGCACCTGGAAACAGAAGAGGTCCCAGTAGGCGCAGTCTGGATCCTCGCTGAAGATACTGCATTTGGGCAAATTTTCGAGTTGCTGAGACTCATACTGACAGTTGAATATCCGCGGTGCAATGGCTTCCATCTCTCTTTGCGAGTAACTGCCGAACACCGCAAGACACTTCATAATGGTGTCCAGGAGGGCCAAGGTGATTGGGTCCTTCTTCTGAATCTCCTTTGGCGTTTCTTCCTCCAACTCCGACTCGAGGGGTCGGAAGTAATGCAGTTGAGGGATTTCGGAGTGATCGCTGCTTGTGGACTCGATGACGGAGCTGAGGCTGGAGGTAGTTTCAGTCGACGTTTTCTGCACTTTTCCCAGAATAATCAGTCGCTTCGAGGTCCTTTTGTGTGGCTTGACTTCGAGGGAGTGAAGGAGTTCGTCTGATTGGGTACTCTGCTTCAACAGGCTGGTCTCCTTCGGTGGCGCCTTTTCGGGGGTGTCGGGTTTCGCCTTCAGACTGCGCTCAGCAGAAATCGGTAGCACTTTGAGGAAGTCATCCGGTGCTAGGGTTGCCTGAGAATGATATGCGGTGTACCTGGGCAGACGTTCCAGTCCCGCTTTGAGGCCATCTTGGTCTATCTCATCATCTGAAAGGGGCGTCTTCATCATCAGCCTCGCCGCCGCCTTTCGAGTGGTGAAGAGTGCGCGGATATTGTGAGTCTTCTGCGGTTGGCCACCAATGTTTGTGGCATGGAGCGGCGGCCTGCCCGTCCCTGCAGGACTCTTCGTCTGTTGCAGTTGACCGGGAACAAAGCTGGCCGACACAAGACCTGCCGGCTCCCTTTTCTTTTTCTGTTTGCTGCCCGCCAATCCGAAGCTTCCGGGTATTGACTCCACATCCTTCAACTTTCGGCCTCCACTATACTCCCTAACGCCCTCCTCGTCGCGTCTATCCTTCCCCGTCACCTCATGCTCCTTGTCCACCGCTGGGTACAGGCTGTCTCCAGGAGGTGTCTCGGGGGCACCCTTTGCCCCTCGGCGTGCCCCCACCCCATCCTCTAGTCCACCTTCAGCTGCCACTGAAATACCCGCCCTTTCTTGTCCCTCATAACGCCTGAGAGCGGCTTCGGTCCCCCAACTAGCGAGTGAACCCCTATGGGCGGTGGCCAGTAGCTTTCTTTCAGCCTCCTGCAGCTCCTCGTCTTCTCTGATCTTATTGCTCCCCAACTCTTCGTCCTCTTCCTCTTTCGCGCGAGCGCGAAAGGCCTCCTTCCTTCTTCTGCTACCCTGCTCCTCTGCAGTCAACGTGCTGCTCCGACTGGCGATCGACTGAGATCTGCCTTCGGTCTGGTCGAATGAGACCTCCGAATAGCGGCTGTGAGTCTCTTCCAGGTTGGGAGCCTCATCTTCCACTGGAGATGACATGGCGTTGGAGACTTCGGAGTCGCGTCGGTCACGATTCGCAAAATAGCCCTGAGAAGAAAACAACAAACTGAGAATTACCAGTCAGGAAGGCATAAAAAACACACATGAAGTCACTTGATGAAGTTACGGACAACAGTGTCCAGGCTGAATCTTCGTTCTGAATTTTTCACGCAGAGGGTAGTGGAGAAATGGAACGATCTCCCTCAGTCGGTCGTGGAGGCGACATCCCTGCAACTCTTAAAGAAACGCTTGGATGATTATTTGTGTCCCCTGCCTTCTCTCGACAGTCTGAATATGCGCTAAGTACCCCGCGACCCGTAATTTTGTTATCTGAGACAATGCTACTCAAATGAATCAAGTACTGTTTTAATAGCGAACATTTTCATCGTTCGTGTACAGTTATTTCTAACAAGCTGACATGTTATCAATGGGGTTTTCAAAGGCCTTGTCTATTATCCTTACCAAATAAACTGAAGTCTGCGTCTGAGCATTATGAGCTGGTCTCTAGCTGTTGCCTCTATTACTATCATCAAAAAACTGCTGAGATTGACTCCGGTTGAGGGGCGTGCATGGATCGCGTTACGGAGCACACTGGTTCCGTTGGGCCTTAGACCTCGCCAGAAGCCGCACAGCGGCGCGTGGTATAGGCTGAATGACATTACCAACAAAGACAAGGGGGACAGGGATGGCCAGTTCTGGCTTGTCAGCCGTCATTAGACAGCCATACCCAACGCCGAGGTGTGCTACACCTGGGGCTCGATCCCATCCCCTGTTGATTAAATGTCCATTGCCCCCTAACTACTGAGCCACAGGCTCGTTGTCCTGTCGACTTCGATCGGGTCTATTTGTGGCAGTTCGCGTCTCCTTGCCCTCCACCTTTGTAACGCTGCCTTTCTGTCCGCCTGGGACACGCGAGGCTTGTCACTAGCCTCGCGAACGCTCCAGGCCAATCAACGCTGTCCCCCGTCTGATTGGCTGGTGGCCGCGGAGACGATGAAAGGCGGACACGCGCACTGGGTCCCAGCACCTCAAAGGCGGACACGGACAGCAACTTGCTTGGAGAGCGCGCTCGCGGCGACTGGCTACAGAGCCTTTGTGTACGCACTTCCAAAACAGTAAAGGTTGTCCAAATCACTTCGTCTTCCCTGACTTTTGATTGGGAATCTTTGTCTTATCGACCACACTACTTTGAACGTATTAACACACATTAACCAGAATGACCCGTAAAGTTTCCTCTCTTTTTGATGACCTTTCCTTTGCGTCATTGTTTATCGTTTCGGGACTGCTTAAGGTGCCTGCAAGACAGAAAGAACAGGCAATCTCCGTCACGTGACCACATTGGCGGGGTCCACTTTGAGAAAGACTACTATTCCCGCTCGCCACCGCCTGGACAAGGAGGCTGTAAATCGGCGGTATAGTGTTTGGCCTAATTCAAAATATTTAAGCAGCGTGAGTTGGAGCCTGAGGATTTGGGCTGGAGGACTATGACTGACTAAAAGATCCGGCGACAAGTCGAAAATTGCTACTTCAGCCTCCCTCATCTTTGCCGGTGTTCCTTTTATACAACTAGCTGTCATCAAACAATTCTTTGCGAGGGATGTAGATTGCAGCTGCCTAGCAAGGCAATCACCACTTTCACAGTGGGGCTCCTCCTCTGTTAATCTCCTACCCAAGGCATGGGCGAAGGGAGTTGTAAGGTGCGGTTTCGATTCGGAGCTGCCAGTGCTCATCAGGAGGCCTTGTTTCCCCCAAATGCAGAAACCTTGCTTAAGCACCCTCTTCGTATCTTTAACAGTCAACTGAGAATACCCGCAAAGCAGTGTTGACCTAAACGGTTGCTATCATTTTCCAAGGATTAGGAAAAATATGTGCACATCTAGTAGACTCAAGCAAAGCGAGACTTACCGAGGGGCCCGACCACGGACTGCTGTTCATTCTTCGGAGGGCATCCTCTGCGCTTTCTTCTTCCGTGGTTGAACTTAGGGCAGAAAAGGTGGAGACAAGAATAGTGCACATTATTTCCTCCAAATTATTTTCGAGGGACTTCGGGCGAAAAAAACAAGGAAGAGGATAACAAGCTAGGGAATCGGGGCAGTATCTGAGGACGCGGCTCTGCTACAGTAAAATGGGGAGTTGCGCGTCTAACTGAAGCTGCTACCCAGTAACCAATAACCTCTTATTGTTCGTCGTCGTCGTCGTCGTCGTCGTCTTCTTCTTCTTCTTCTTCTTCTTCTTCTTCTTCTTCAAAAGCATCCTGAGATGGTTCAGGAAGTTCGGATCAAGAAAGGACTTGATGGCAATGAATGTAATTCGGAGGAGCTTTGGTTGACGGAAATTATCCTGGTCTGCTGGTGGGTTTGGAAAATTTGCACAAATGCATCTCGGTGCACGAAGGTGAAAGCGTCAACAGCATGCATGAGCCTAATACCTCCATCAAAATTCTGCCTAGCTATACGCTGACCTTTTTAGACGTGAATATTCAAACAACTAAGGACAAAAAGGAGCCCAAAGACAGAATTCCATACATGATACCCGGAAAACCGGATCAACATGCTTGTATTGGGGAAGAGTGACCAGTAACCTATATTCAACAGAAAAATACATGCGTGGATTTGCAGTCCTGTTTCAGACGATTGCCTGAAAGATCCTTTCTTGAAGTGTATAAGAGAACTGGAAAACTTGTGACGATGCCTCCTGACACAGTCTCTGGATATCTTGCCTTTTTTCACCTGACTAAAACTCGTGGAAACGGCCAGCTGGTCAGGGTACTACTATTGTCATAAATGAGTACTACATGTGGCGTTTACGTTTTTTGGGCTTCCAAATGAAGGGGTGGGGAGAGTTGTAAAAGAACTTGGAAAAAAAACCCGACAAGGCGGCACTGTACTGGTAGTAGTCGAGAAGGCAACCCAGTTTCCCTACCCGACCCTGTATTCAGCATTACGCCTCGCAGAATGTGGTCAAATAAGTGGTTTAGCGGAAAAGTCGAGAGAGTGGGTGGATATTTCATCTTTGGTGCTGTTTGGGGCGTATGGCTTTTGGATGAGCCACAATCTGCTCGCTTTATGGTCTTCCCGCCCTCAATCTGTCAACAAGCGTAATGACCTTCCATCGTCGAATTCTGCGCCGAGACTTTACCCCGGGGAAAGCAATTAGCCACTCGAGGAACGCGCGGACGACCACTATTCCCGGTGCTAGTGCTGGTGAGCCAAATAGCTCAAGAAGTCGACAGTTCGACCGTCGTGACCGACGATGTCCCCCGTGTGCTCCACAGAAAGGTGAGAGCAGGTACGACGACTTGCGAAGCATCTACCGCACTCTCTTCTCCTTCCGGCGTCAAGACACAGTCAAGTAGGCTTGGGGCGGGAGAGGAAGCAGTTGGCTGGCACGGCGTAAATCCGCACCTAAGCGTGCCCCACACCCGATGGCTCACAACATACATTTGACCAGGATTTTAACCAACAAGAAAACAAGCGAGTCAGAAGGCGAAGGGTGACCGGGCTGTCGAAAGTGGGGTGGACGACAAGACCAAGATTCCCGATCAGAAATTAGGGAAGACGGTTTGAGTTGGACAACCTTTACTGTTTTGGAAGTGCGTTCACAAAGGCTCTGTAGGCAGTCGCCGCGAGCGGGCTCTCCAGGCCAGTTGTTGCCTGTGTCGGTCTTCGAGGTGCTCAGACCCAGCGCGTGTGTGCGCCTTTCGTTGTCTCCGCGTCCGCCAGCCAATCAGAGGGTGGACGGCGTTGATTGGCCTGGAGCACTCGCGAGGCTATTGACAAGCCTCGTGCGTCCCACCAGCGTATCGACAAGGAGTGTGAGGCGGACAGGACGGCAGTGTGACAAAGGCGGAGGGCAAGGAGACGCGAACTACCACGGGGCCACCACCCACACGACCTGTGTACCCGGGGGGGGGGAGGAGGGGGGCGAGCGCATCCATAGGCAGGGAAACAGGTGTCAGAGAACTGCCAGCGCACATCATACTGCGAGGGCCATAGCTTGTTGATCATGGCATACCAGACGCACATAATCTCTAAGACCCAGAAGGGCGAGACACAGTCCTGCAGTTAGCCCAGGCCATCACCATTCAAGGCCGGGTAACTCAAGAACCCACGCGAGTGATGAACTTTCAATAATAAGCAGCCCGGCTGTGGCCAATCAGCAATTAGCGCGCCAGGTGCGATGAATGCGGAAGCCGGCCAATTTTGCTGGCTACTCGAGGGCATAGCCCCCGGGCACTGCAACACCTGGCCAATTAGGCAACTGTCACACCACGTGTCAATTTTAATAGACGCGCAGTGACATAGTAACTGCATCTTATAAATCCTGAAAGGGCAGTTCAACCGTTAACCTTTACATAATTCGCCTTGATGATAGATCCGGACGTGAATCGGAAACTTACGGCAAATAACGTTCTTGTCCCAACGATCATGCCTCCCTCCTCAGGAGTGTCTTTGTCTTTTTTAAATCAACAGCTGCTGAACTCTTCACGTTCATTTATACGGACTGAGTGTTTAAGCGAATGTTTACTGATCACTCAGATTTCTTGAGGGGCTATGCTGGAAAAAATCGCCCTCATATTTTGATATCAATGATGTTTCATTTACTGAATTATTCTCATAAACAGGCTCTATGTAGAATAAATAGCGTTAACTCCTACAAAACGAGTTTTCGCGCTCTCGGCACTTCTGATTTTCTCAGGAAAGCCGTCATTTTAAACCTACGGATTATTGCTTTCAATAATTCTTTCGTAAGTTCGGACGGGCAAAGTTAAGAGATCCGGGTTGGTTATTTGAAGAAAAAGAAGGGCTCACCGGAACAGGTTTATTTAGTTGCTGACATTTCGAAGAGCTTGGTCGGCTCTCCATTGTCAAAGCGTAAAATGCACTTAATCGACCAGTAATCCCAAGTGGCATGTCACGTTGGTCGGCCTCATAGTAATCAATTTTTCTCACCTCTCGCTGCCTCGGCCTCTCGGGGGATGGTTGACGGGCGTTTTGACTGAATGCTTTGTGAATCGCCATTCCGTCCGGAGGCGGAGCCGATTGAACCTTTGTCGGGTGGTCGGTCTGGCGGTTCTTTTTCTTCCTCACCGAGTAAACTCGCCGTCGGGCTGTCACCGTATGGCCTTCTTAAGTCCGCTGTGGTTGTGTTGTCCTGAGCTCTACGATTGTGATGACGTAGGACTTTGTAAGCTGCAGGAAGGTCCAGATGCCTGTTGATGGAGTGGGAATCGGAGTACCAAGCCTCGAGTGTTAGTCGCTCTGCTTTTGTGTTGCCGCGGCCTAAGATAGCGGCACACTGGAGATCGAAAGCATGTTCAGTTTCTCCAACTTGTGTTGCTAGTTGAGAGTTAGGTTGTAACCTCCGAGCGGCCGATTTGTGCCCTTGTAGGCGAGGCTGCTCTTCGAATCGTCAACGACTAAATAATCCCATTTCAGTGAGCCCATCTTTTTCTTCAAATCGTTTGTAAGTTTTTGGTCGCTGCATTTGGGTCAACTTTCGATCGATCGGAAATTTCTCGCTAGTTGATACGCACACCTCATGAGTTTCGTCATCTGGGAAGCATCATGCCTACGAGAATTGGTGAATTTACGGCCTCAACTTCGATAAACTTTCCTCAGAGAAATTCGCCATTAAACATGAATTAATGCAGCTGACTCAGGCTGGCCCAGTTAAAGCCACAAAATGCTAGAAGCATCTTGGAAATCCGAACGTCAGTGCGATGGGGAAAGGGATGCTGACTGGTAGACTGGTGTATACGTGCTCGCTTTTTGTGACCGCTGTGTCCTGATAGTACTCTGCGCATTTTGACGAATTTTGCCTGACTGGACATCGGTCAGGCTGTCTGGTGAGGGTCAAACGCCCACTTGACATGCTTATATACCTCACTTCATAAGGCCTATGACGTACTGATGATCGGTAACGACCGTGAAACAGCTGTCTGCGTCTGGCCTGTTGCACTCTTAGCGAGCTGCTCATGTATTATATGTGGTACAGTAGATGTGCTAACTCATGAAATGTCAATCAAAATTTCGAAATGCGTTCTCGTTTCGAAAAGACAAATTAAGTAGTGTTGTAAAACTAATCATAATGCAGCATAAATCTATAATGATCCAGTTACCTCGGGGTATCGGCTTTCGAAAGAACTTATTTTCGGCTGCATGCAAGATCTATACTCTGCAAAAAATGACTTCTTAATTAGCATGCAATTTTCTCATTGATTTTCGATGCCCTTGAAAGTTCAATTATATTTCATGGAAAGCATGCAAAAAATATTCATTCTTTTACCCATTCGGAAGAAAATCACGTCTTCTTCCAATTCCATACTCAAAAGAAGAGTATAATTCGGTTTTCAAAAAGTTTCTAATTGTGAGATTTTTAATACCGTTAAATGGCCGTTCATGAAACGTCATGTCTCTGCATTTACGAATGTGGCTTGTAAAGTTAACAATTTTCCTCAAATCCACTGCTTAATTTTATGAACCTCATATGATCTCCTTTTAACACTGTAGAGAAATGTATGGTTTTCAGTACACGGAAAATATACAGCTTGTAGTTTTGAAACCCTGAATGCAAGTGTAACAGCAGGTCGGGTTCAAAATTATTCGGGAATTAGAAAAGTTTTTTAAAACCGAATTAAACTCTTATTTTGAGTATGAAATTGGAAGAAGACGTGACTTTCTACCGCATAAGTAAAAGAATGAATATTTTTTGCATGCTTTCCATGAAATATAATTGAACTTTCAAGGGCATCGAAAATCAATGAGAAAATTGCATACTAATTAAGTCGTCATTTTATGCAGAGTATAGATCTTGCACGCAGCCGAAAATAAGTTCTTTCGAAAGCCGACACCCTGAGATAACTGCATGATTATATATTTATGTTGCATCATGATTAGTTTTACAACCCTACTTAATTTAGATTTTCGAAACGAGAACGCATTTCGAAATTTTGATTGACATTTCATGAGTTAGCACATCTACTGTATGTGTCCTCTGACACAGCGTTCGTTGCCGCCAGTAGCAAGCTGGCGGGCGGACAGAATGGGATCGAGTGAGATCCTAACCACAACAGTGAGGGTCAAACGCCCACTTGAAAAGCCTAAGATATTCAGTATGTGGCCTATCTCATGAGAGGTGCCAAAATTGTTACTCACCCGCAAACCGCCATAAACAAATGGATCGAAGACTTAAAATAATAAATAACGACTTCAAGCTAATTGGAAACATAAAAGAAATACCAAAATTAATACAGGGTTGCTCGGAAATACCGAATTTATTTTAGAAAAGCGGAAAATCGCAACAACGCCGAAAATCGTTTCAAATGAGTTTTAACCAACAAGAAAATAAGTGGGTCAGAAGGATGAGGGTGACCGGGCCACCATCCACACGACCTGTATACCCGGGGCGGAAAATCGCGACAACGCCAAAAATCGTTTCAACGGAGTAAACGTAAGTTTGCAATGTATGGGAAGCCTGCTCATACAAAAATCGAGAAAATAATCCAGCACAAGTAGAATGACGTCTGAAAGTTGTCCATTAATAAGGCTTGCGCCCTAATGTCCTTGAGAATTATTCACAGATGAACTAGTCCAATGCCAGGCATGGCGGTTCGAAAGTGGCTAACATTTTGAGTATAGATTTCAATACGGTTTCACGAGAATAAATTGTATTTTTTCCGTTTTTACATTATTTGAGATGCAGTTGATTAAGGAAAACAAGTCGCCGCTTGATTTTAACGATAGGAACTAGGGGCGACACAGGAATACAAATTTTCCTAAGGCTGGTTAGTGACTAATAAATTTAAGCAGTGCAGTGATATCGGTTGCAGTAGTTATAGGATCAAAATTACTCAGGGTTTGCCAAGGAAACCCGGACGGGGACAAGCAGAAAAACCGAGTGAAAAAGAAACGTGCCCTCCACTCAGAAGAAGGAAAACAAAATCCCAACGTTAGGGTTTTCAGCAGCGTGGGTATTTCCACAGTGGGCCTCAGATGCGAGGCGCACGTCCGACTGCCAACCTGATACAACGACACATTCCTCCTCCTCCTCCTCCTCCTCCTCCTCTTCCCGCTCCATATGATTATTCCTATACTTGGGACCTGCCCTGAGGGTCGTAGTGCTAGGGGTCTGTCCACGATTGGCTACTGCGACATTGTGCAAATCACACAGAGGTCGTTAATGTCTAAGAGTTGACTGATCGGTTGCGTTTGGTTATGATTGACCTGACACCATATACAGTAGGCGTGCAAACTCATGAACTGTTAACCGAAATTCTGAAATGCGTTTTTGACTCGGAAAGATTACTTAAGTAGGGTTGTAATATTAACCACCATGTGTCATAATCCCATTATAATTCAGATACTCCAGAATGGAGGCATTTGAATGAGCTTCTTTTCAGCCGCCTGCAAAAATTTCACTTGGTAAAAAGGACTACTTAAGTAGTATTAACTGTTGTCATTGATTTTGAAATTTTCCCGTAGGTTTTCGATGCCCTTTTAAATTCAAATATGTTTTGTTAAAAACGTGCATGCAATTATTCATTCTTTTACCGATTTCATAAGGCAATACTTCTTCAAGTTTTAGAATTGAAGAAAGGACTTACAAAGTTTTTAATCATGAGATTTTTTAAAATCGTGAATTTTCCGTTCAGAAAACATCGTGTTTCTGCATTTACTAATGTTGCTTGTAAAGTTTACAATATGACTCGAGTCTACCGAAAAATTTTATGAGCCGTTATACGGTTTCTTCTTAATACTGCAGAGAAGTGTATGATTTTCCGTACACGGAAAATATAAAGTTTGTAGTTTGGAAACCCTGAATGCAGGTGTCACGGCATGTCGGATTCAAAATTATGCGGAAGTCGGGAATGTTTTTTTAAAACCGAATTATACCCTTTCTTCAATTATAAGATTTGAAGAAGACGTAACGCGTTACCAAATGAGTAAGAGAATGAATATTTTAATGCACGTTCTCAAAGAAATATGCCTAAATTTATAAGGACGTCGAAAATCAATGGGAAAAATTCATACCATTCAAGTAATCATTTTTTACCGAGTGCAATTTTTGCAGGCGGTCAAAAAGTAGTTCGTCAAAGGCCGGCATTCTGGAGTAACTGAATTATTATGGGTTATGATGCACGGTGGTTGGTATTACAATCCTACTTAAATAATCTTTTTGAGTTGAAAATGTATTTCAGAATTTCGGTTAACATTTCATAAATTAGTGCACCTGCTATAGATCCTTGCAGTATCCGCGATCAGCCCGAGGTTATGACGGCATCATTCAGAGCCGCATAGTATCAGACAAAGGGGCTGGCAGTCGGTGTGTACGTACAAACACGTGCCAGACTGAAACATACTGTTACAGCAGACAACGGAAGTAAAGTTTCTATGGTTGTTCTAATAAACGTAATTGTATTAACAGCAATACTGATGGTAAAAGAGCGAGCTGTATTAATATCATGGGTGGTAGTAGACTTTACATTAGGATGCAAAAGTAGTCATGACAACGTTAGCAACCATAACAAAAAACACAACACTTACTCTCTCAATGAAGTTGAAGATTTACGGAGCTGAGAATGTGGTTCTTGAATTGGTGATCTGACTATCTGTTCTTCTTTCAATTGCGCCTGTGCTGGACGTTTCGAGAGCGTTATTTTGCTAACCACTGGCTCTATCTGCAGATAAGAAATTTCGAAAAAGTTGCTGTAGGACTATCATATAAATAGAAGAAACAACTAAACAACCATATTTTATTATGTAATTTTTTTCGTTTAAGTACGAGATGAAATCATAAAAATCGATTTGGGGAGCACAGTAAGCAATGTCTGGCATACTGACAGAGTTTACATTTTTTCAAATAAAACACTAAAGCCCTTGCTGCCCACCAGAATGTCAAACTACAACTAGAAATTAACGTCTCCGTCAGATTTTAAAACACTGAAAAGTGCGCGACTTGTGCCTTTGGTGGGGTTTTAAACTAAGACATAATCGAACGGAAAATGGGTCCTACTCATAGTCAGAAAGTAGTGAAGTCTGGGTAGAAAAAGCGAAAGAATAAGGTGCCGTCGCGCTAACGCCTTTGGGTAAGCCGACAGATGAGCCGGCCGTGGGCCTTCCCATACAGTGGCACAGCAGTACTCTTAAAGCCGAACTTTGAGATTTAATGAGTCTTCGTGATTGCTATCCTCTTTATGCAGGTTCCACTCCTATTCGATATCCGATGGGCTCTCGAAAGCGGAAAGTAGGTCGAACTGTCGGAAATGTCAGCCGGTCAGTGAGTTTTATTATAAAGTCCCTCCTGACCTTGGTTACCACAGCTTCGTCCGTTCCTCGTTGGTAAGCTAATTTTGAACGCCAGCTTCGTTTCTGCTCGAAATTCACTTAGGTCCTGGGCGTCCGCTTCTCAATGCCAGTCTTAAATTCGGTTTTATTCTCCTTATTAGCATTCTGTTGTCCTGTTAACATCCAGAATGTGCAAGCTTTGCGTTTTTTACAGCCGGTTGACCAAACGCATGGTTTAGTGGACTCTGTGGTGTATCCGATGAAACTTAAACCGGGATTCTATCATCTGTTGTAGTTTAGAAGGGATGACTTAGGTGTGTATTGATTATTGTACAACATAATTCCATGATATTTCAGTCACACCAGGTTGTTTGTTTTAAAGTGTCCCTCATTTCCGACCGCTCGAAAAACCTAGACCAGGTGACTAGGAATATTTTAGCAATATGAATTTTCCCGTTGATTTTCGATGCCCTTTTAAATTTTGATATATTCCATAGAAAACAAACGTGTTCTGCCTTGCATTCATTGGGCATTAAATTACATCTTTTGCAAATTTAATACCAGAATAAAGAGTAATTTTTAGATAAAATTGAGGTTTACAACTATGAGAATTTTTAAGGCTAGGAAACGTACATTCAAGAAGCATAATATCTATCAATTTGTTTATGTTTCCTACGAAGTTTACAACTTGATCGACATTCAGGGCAAAATTTTATGAGCCCTTTATTGCTTCTTTTTAGTAGCGCAGAGGAATAGATAACAGTTTCCGTAAATTCAAAGGACGCAGCTTTCAGTTTGGAAACGCAAAGTGCAAGTCGAAGCGCAGACCAGGTTTGAGACTATTTCTGAATAAAAAAATTTCAAAACCTAAAGTCACCCTTTCCTCGAGTACAAACCCTGAAGAATACACATAATCTACTACCAAATGAATACAAGCAATAATATACTTTATGCATATTTTTAAAAAATAGATTTGAATTTAGAAGAGCGTGTGGAATCAATATGAAAATTCAGCCTTATTAAGTAGTAGCGTGTACCGAATGTAGTTTTTGCGGGCTGCCGAACAGAAGCGCCGTCAAGAGCCAGTCTCCTGGCGTGACTTAAGCATCCTGGGACTTCGCTGCACGCTAACCACTATTAGGATTGCACCAAAGTAACACTTTCTAATGGAAAACACATTTCGGAATTTCGGCTAACATTCCACAAGATGCGCCGTCTTCTATGCTGCCAGTTAAAGCCTTATTCTCAAGTGAAAAACTTAGGACTGACCGAGCACCCCCTCGGCGAGAGGGTGCGGTCATGTCATAAGTCGCCCAGACCCCGCCTTGATCTTGCGGCCAGAGTCTTCGCAACATTCCCACTATTTGACTGACTTGAGGAGCATTTAGATAATCAGGAGTCCTCAAATAACGTTGTTGAGAAGGCACACAGCTGACCGACTGAGTAGGGATCAATACCCGGATCGCAGTAGTCCCTTTTGAATGAGGACGCAGAGAGGAGACAGTCCGCACGCGAGGGAAGGAGGCGAAATGCCGACTCCCGTTATCGCAGTTGGGAACAGAGAGAGAGAGAGAGAGAGAGAGAGAGAGAGAGAGAGAGAGAGAGAGAGAGAGAGAGAGAGAGAGAGAGAATATAGAAATTATTTCAACCATTCAGAACTCCTCCAGACAGTGACAAGCACAAATGTGAATTTCCTGATTGTAGAGCTCGACAGTTGACGTGTACCTTCTTTTCCCTAACGGATGTGAGGACTGCTATCACCTCGAGCGCTGTCATCACTTAGGAGGAAGAAACAACGCACCGGGATTGGTTGTGGGGGGAGGAAAGTAGTCAGGTAGAAAAGCGTCAATAGGTGAACGGAATGGGAGCAAATGGGGGGTCATTTTGGAAAGCCCGCCCTGTCAAGTTCACTTTTTGAGATTTCAAGCCTGTTTTTCACCACTCTGAGACCGAGCAATCAAATGTGTCCCAAGTGAACAAGAATGAGAGTGACATCGCATACATTAGTAGCGTTTTTATTTCGGATTGGCTGACGCTTTTCGTTCTCCTGATAGATCTGACCTCAGAATAAATGTCGGTTTGGCAAGTCGAACCGACAGATTTTGGGGAACTGGAGTGGTTCTTTCTGCCTTAACACGAACCCAACTCCTGGTCACAGTGCCGGCAGATGGAACCCGAATGTTTTGTCATTGAGCTCGTAAGTCAAACAGATGGAAGCAGAAACAAACAACCATCTGTCCTTCCTTGACGTACTTGTGCGCCGGTGTACCACTGGACAGCTGCAAACTACAGTATTCCGAAAATCCACCGACACGAGACAGATCCTATACTTCAATAGCAACCATCCTCTGTCTCACAAAAGTAATTGAGAGAGAGGGCGATAGTGAGAAAGTCATCCTGCGCCCTAAACTGCTTCCCGCTCAAGTCGTTGAGGTCGGAAAAAATGAGCGTCATTGAGACCCGGTAGGGAACGACAAAGACACGACAAAGACACGACAAACACGTGTTACACTGACAGTTTAGTGCTCAATTCACAGTCTACAACATCGTGCTGCCAGTGGAAGAGGAAGTCGTTAGCAGTCGGCAGCAAACTTACGTACGGCCTGTTTTCCGTAGGATAGGGAGGCAGTTGCAGTTGGGGTGATTTTAAACGTTGACTTCTGTTGAAACTCCACCTTCTTCATCTCCTCCTCCTCCTCCGCCGCCCGCACCTCCATTGTCGTTTCCGTAGCCGGAGGACGCCCGTGGTCTGACGGGGTTTCCAGTCGTAGGTCAAACTGCTCCTCGGTGAGACTGGGTGGTTAAGTAAGTTAAGCGCATAAGAGGGCTAAGTAACTGGCATCAAACAGCGTGAGTTAAGAACTAGATAAGTCCGATCAAATTTCTAACCGGTGAGCGGAGGCAACTTACACATCCTCTTACTAGCGTCGACTAACTTGTCTGGTCATCCTGAACCTTTGGACGGAAGTCCAACGCCTCATGTAAGATCCAGTAAACATGTCACAAATGCAAAGGAGATCTGATGCAATGCCTTATAGCAAAAATCGACAAAGCGCCCGCCGGCCGATATTAATGTCTGTGATTCAGAGGAAGAAGAAGATGCGATCACTGGAACAGGGAGCTTATTGGCCTGACGTTTCGGATTCTCACTCAAATCCATCGTCAGAGGCGGTTGCCGATGAAGGTAGTGGAGGCACAAGGAGTGCAGTATTTGTAGTACGTAACTGCTTTGGGACCACATATGTACTATAATTAACAGCTCTCGCGATCACTGCTGGTGGTCGTAATTAAGGTGATGATAACTCGTCAGTCCTCGTCCGAGTCGTTAGTTGCTGCACTTTCATCATCCGTTTTGGATGTTGACGTGACGATTACTCAACCATTTGGCCCGCAGTCACGGGGATAGTTGCTCGTCCGCGTCCTCCCCAAGTGACTGATTCACCTGCTCAGGGAATATCTCAGCACCGAATATGATGCCGGGAGGTCATTGCGCTTGTTGGTGGATTGCGGCCCTGAGAACCAGGATTCGAAAAGCTTGCGGCTTACGCAGGTGTCAGCCCTTGCGAGGATTTCGGCCTCTTGAAACCTGGTGGATTCGACTGAGAATCTGAAACGTCAGGCCAAAAAATTTCCTGTTCCAATGATCGCACCTTCTTCCCCTTGTTCTTTTGAACTGCTTCCCGGAACTCGTCAGTTTGCTCCTATCGCCAATATTTGTAATCTTCTAACAACTGAGCATTAACTACTTTGAGACCCATATATATGCCGGGGGTCGCTCTTGAGTCCTCTTCTTAAATTCCATTTGGACCCCTGACATCAAACTGGATCTGCAGCCGTGACGGCCCAACGGCCCCTCTACATATCCTCTCCTCCCTTCTTTATCTGCGGGTTGATTGTTTCTCCACATACTCAAAAAATATCGTTAATAAGTCGGATAACACAGCACACAATAGGGTCATGCTTATTAAAGCCCCATTTAGCACCGACCAGCAAAGATGCCTAGCCAATCGAAATCCAGCCACCGGAACTCGAACGCTCACTTCCATTCGTGAGTTATCTTTGCATTTATAGAGGGTTGACATCAGAAAGCATGGAGATATGGTTAGACCAATCGAACTTGACGCGCGAAACGGTGATTTGTTACCAAAGTAATTACTAATACAGTCCCCATAACAGGACATGAGAGCAGGAACAGTCCGCAACACTGATGGTCTTGTACCATACTCCTGGAAAAGTTTAAGTTTGCCAACATTACTCCGAATCCTCGCAAGTTTGCCACCAAGTTAGTCTACATTCCTTCCATCCCGGCCAGGCCTTACAGAAGCCTTTTCAGGCGGTCAGCAACGATTGTTGATGAGGAACTCCTGTTCTAACGCGAAAGTTCGAATGAAAGAACTCAGAACTCGTCCCAGGCCTTCTCAACATCAAAGACAATATAGCCCATGACTATACAGACGGCGGCAACGTCACTCCTGACTGTTTGAAGTCTGATATTTGAGTACATATCAGTGTGTATTTACCGAATGGAGAGGCATAGGGACCTAAGAACCCATGTGGTTTTTCTAATTGAAGTCTCTAAACTCTCAAAGTTCCTCACTGAGGAGAGGAGGTTAGAGCCCAGAGGTAACCTCTGCGATATGACCGGTATCATTTATCGACCAGAGGCTCTATCAAGAGGCGAAGAGTCGCTTGCCCCTTGTCGAATTAGGTGCGGTTCTTGCAAAGTAAAATGTGTCGGAGAGATTGGTAGGCGGGTGAAAACATGCACTGAGGAATTCATCATGGCATTAGAATGACGAGCTGGACGCTTTCGTGAATTGAAAATCCATGAGGCTGATCAGCACCACAGTCCCACATGAGTTAAATTCTACGATTCGTAAAACACGAGGAAGGGGACTTGAGTATCGAAGCAGGAATTTTAATTCACCTAAAGTTTCGGATTTTTTCCCAAACCCATCGTCAGATACGGCTATAAGCGGAGATGTTGGACACACAGGAGGATGCTGTAATCCCGGAATGAAGTTTAAACGCCTCTTCACACTGTATAAAATCAATCCCTCACGCATTCATTACGGATGCGCCCCCACGAGATTAAGTTCCTTGATCAGACGAACTATTAGTGCTATATGGGTTAGAGGATCCTTGTGGTTACGGATGGACGGTGGGCCGAAGAAACAGGGTTCAAGTGGTTAGCGACCAAAACTTTTGTTAAATCTCGCGACATAGTTGAACTCGGAAGTTCTGAACGGTCCCCTCGAATGATATGTGGCCTGGAAGTTGACGTGATTCATCCTCACCGCTGCTGTGTGTTCGGTCGATCGTGTCAAGAGTAATCCCCCGGTTCCTCGAAGTCAGCGCCTCATTGCCTGGCTTCCGATGCCTGCCTGCGGTTTGTGTCCATCCCCAATTCCGAGAAGACAACTGATGACTTCCGAGACCTTCATGGTGTACAGGAGAGCTCTCTAGAACTTTGGCTCGGTGAGACTTATTGTCGCGATCAGGGTTTAGCGGGTCTTAACGCAGAAAATTTGATAGCAGTTTTTTAACTTGTTGGAGGACAGGATACTGTTAACCATCAGAATACTGCAGTAGCTTCTTTGAACCCCTGAAGGTCTATTTCGTTTGGCGTAGCTCGTTTTAGAAAATTTTAATATCTCGGGAGAAAGAAATAGCTTACAGCCTATTCCGGTTTTCCAAAGCGTGAGTTTTATATAGTCAGTGAGCCATGAAATAATGAATGACGATTTGTCAATTATCAGTCGTCTCACCTCATGCTTAGTTCAGGAGGAAGTGTCTCTGATCCTGAACCCTCGGAGGTCCGACCGTCGGTGGACATAGTTGTAACTGGGGACTCTCTCTGTCGACAGGGAACGTCGAGCAGAGGGAAAAAACAAAAAAAATCTGTGAAGTTAACCTCCACTGAAAACTAGAAGTAGAAACTTGGGGGCGTGGTCTAGAAACGTAGTGAAATATGAAACTGGACCAGTAAATTGACAGACAGGAAATCTATCAATGGCATCTCGAATGTCGCAACGACGAAAACCACCGTTTGTCCCACGGAACGCACACGTGGCGTGCGCGCGAGTCAGTTCGTGGGGGATAGACTTGCGTAGAACCTACCTAACTATCCTACTTCACCCACTTTCCTCCAGTGGCGGGCACGGGCACAATGACGGACAAAACTAAGGAACCCATCTACGCGTGCCACACACACGACCTGGTCCCCGCCAGGTTTTCACAAGAGCTGCTCGGATTTCACATGTGCGAGTGTTTCGTAAAGATCACACCCAGAAGGAGCCATTGCCGTCGCGCTGTCAGTCCCCTCAGTTTGCGGCCTTGCAAGCCAGGACTGTAGGCGCGTTGTGATGGATTTAGGCCCGTCAGATGTATTGTAGGGAGGAATGCACGGATGTGTCGTGAGGATGGACCCCCTACAGTGTCGGCACTAACCCTCTATTCCTTCCATCATGCACCGACGAATGATGGGACTGGGCGCAACGGATAACGCGGTGTGAAGGTCTGTGTGTAAGGAATGCCCCCACGTATGCTGGACAGCAGTTATGGGCACGTGCCGGCACGACGCAGCCCTCTGTGGGAAGCTAAGGTAATCTACCACAGAGCATCAGACACACACTTTGCCGGTTCCGATTAGCAGAATTCACAGTCCCGTGGTCATACTGATCGGTCCTATGGCCCGGACGTTAAAGTTTGCTTTGGAACCACAGACTAAAACCGACGCAGGCGGTCACGCGGAACGAGGCAGCAGAGCAGTCGAGGGGTCTTGCGGCAACGACTACTGCGACTTAATCTCATTCGTTATAAAATTAGGAGTATTCCGATTGGCTATGGACCAATTACTTCATTGCGCTTCGGCCTACAATCAATCTCTACTAACCTGAGCTTGTCTCGGCTAGCGTCAGCGGAGTCCATAGCGTGAGTCGTAATTACGGATGCTGATCCATGGGCTATGAGGTGGGCAGGGTTATCTCTCTCCCACGAGAGACGCCTTATTCGCCGGGAGGCAATACTTATCCTGCCGAAATACAGCTGTGTCCTGCCGCAACAGACAACCGGTATGGCAGATCGGCGTCCAGCCGCGCCTGAACGTGTTGCCATTGCATTGCCCCACAACTGCATAGCCGTCAGATCCGAGAGGGCCTGTTTATTCCACGGAAGGGTCCTGATAATGACCTCTTAAATTTTCCGTCGAATGCGAAGCACAGAACAGTGCGCGTATAGGCTGATAAGGGGACGTCTCCCTGAGGATGTTACCACCTTGGACTTCCACAAGAACAACAACTAAATGCCCATGGGACGTCCTGTTGTCATCCTGACTCAGTGGAAGCACTTCCGATTGAGTGTTAAAATTTATGCCCCAGACGAATGGCTGAAAACTACTAAGAACATGCTAAGAGGTACAGTAGGTGTGCTAACTCATGAAATGTCAATCAAAATTTCAAACTGCGTTCTCGTTTCGAAAAGATAAATTAAGTAGTGTTGTAAGACTAATCATGATGCAGCATAAATCTTTAATGATCCAGTTACTCCAGGGTGTCGGCTTTCGAAAGAACTTATTTTTGGCTGCATGCAAGATCTATACTCTGCAAAAAATGCCTACTTAAGTAGCATGCAATTTTCTCATGGATTTTGATGCCCTTGAAAATTCAATTATATTTCATGGAAAACATGCATAAAACTATTAATTCTTTTACTTATTCGGTAGAAAACCACGTCTTCTTCCAATTTCATACTCAAAATAAGAGTATAATCCGGTTTTAAAAACGTTTCTAAATATGAGATTTTTTAATACCGTTAAATGGCCGTTCATGAAACGCCATGTATCTGCATTTACGAATGTGGCTTGTAAAGTTAACAATATTCCTCAAATTCACTGCTTAATTTTATGAACCTCATATGGTCTCCTCTTAACACCGTAGAGAAATGCATGGTTCTCCATACACGGAAAATATGCAGCTTGTAGTTTTTAAACTCTGAGTGCAAGTGTAACAGCTGGTCGAGTTCAAAATAATTCGGGAATTAGAAAAGTTTTTTTTAAAACCGAATTATACTCGTATTTTGAGTGTGAAATTGGAAGAAGGCGAGATTTTCTACCGAATAAGTACAAGAATGAATATTTTTATGCATATTTTCCATGAAATAGAATTGAATTTTCAAGGGCAACGAAAATCAATGAGAAAATTGCATACTACTTAAGCAGTCATTTTTTTGCAGATTATAGACCTTGCATGCAGCTGAAAATAAGTTCTTTCGAAGGCCGACACCCTGAGGTAACTGGATCATTATAGATTTATGCTGCATCTGGAGTACTTTTGCAACACTACTTAATTTATCTTTTCAAAACGAGGACGCATTTCGAAATTTTGGTTGACATTTCATGAGTTAGCATATCTACTGTACGTTAGGTCATCACTTCTCTCTCTCTCTCTCTCTCTCTCTCTCTCTCTCCAAAACAAGCCTTGCCTGATACAATAGGGAGAAGCACTCAGTGGAGTTCAGCGGCTGAAACAATTACCCTCCTCACTGGTGACTGTGTTTTCAACGTTTTTCCGAGTTTTTTTTCTTTTCCAGTGCATACGGAAGCGTTTTCATCCGCCTCGGAGTATGAGACGATGTGGTTCCATCAGATGATTGATTTTTGCAACATATTCCACGACGGCAGCGGCGGAGGCCTTAAACCAGCAAGGCCTTTAGTCCTCGCAGGCGGGCGTGGCACCCAGTCTCGAAATATTTCGGCGGCAAATTAGCACCTCCTGCTGCGACCTTGGTGGCGAGACCTGATTGGCTTATTGATCGCCTGCTAATTCAGTCAGCACGAAACTGCTGGGCTGGGTCAGTTGTTTTCGCTGTGCTCTATCAAGGGTTTGATTCTGGTTTCAACCAGTTAGTACTCAGACGGAGGGGGAGAGACCGACGACGAAGGCAGAATGCGCCGAGCAGCTGATTTCCGTGAACGGGAAGAAAGAATTTGCCTGCTTTGAAATCTGACTTTCGCAAAATACCACAACCGACCATTAAAAACCCCACTTTGATCTCGAAAGATGACTCAGTCTCCAGTCAGCCGCATGCTTAAATGTAGAATGAGCACGGAGTCTGACTGTTCAAAACCTGGGGGATTTAACTTGCCGTCTTTGGAACTTTACAGTTCTGCTGCTTGGTAGTCTAACAGGAGGCGCAATCGAACAGGCCTGACCCATTGCTAGTCACAGGGTCGGTGTTTGTGTTCGTCTGTACTGAACAGCGACATAGACATTTTATTATTTCCCACATTCTAACTACTCATTATAGCAGTTCTCTGATAGAAACTCACTGGTGCCGTTGATCCTCTTCTCGTCTGAGAGATCCGCTGACCAGTGTAGACCTTAGCTCTCACGTTCCCAAGTGTTAAACCTCCCATCTCTGTTTTCGATTTGGGTTTTTTTGACACCTGAAGATAGCGAAAAAAGTTGCAGGGGAAATTACTTTGGTATAAGTAGGGAACAATGCTAAAATATTCAAATGAACCTTTGGACGAGCCTGAAGAAGGCTAGTTCCAACGGATTTGTCCGAAGTATGTGCACTAATGTCTACGGGTAGTAAAAAAGCTTAACACTGAAAACTGGGGTATATATTCGGAAGCCAGTGGAGAACGTGAGGGTCCACTGATGAGTCTTCGATTTTGCTTCCTACCCGTTCCGACGGTAAGGCGAATCAGTCAACATTTGCAAACTCACGACTGACACGCTCAACCGAGCCATAGACCTACATCCCGCCCAGCATGGGGAACCGTAGAAGGTTCGAGTCAGCCCAGATAGAGCCCATGGGACGGATGAAAACAGTCACACGGGGTCGACTGCCGACGTTCCCGGGGAAAAGGGAAGGCACCGACCGAAAGTCACGTGACCGGTGAGGGGGACACAAGGCGTGCAAGTCCGCCAATGGTTGGGGTCAGAGAGTTCACAATCAGTCAACACCAAACAGGCCAGCCAAACGTACAGTAGGTGGGCTAAATCATGAAATCTCAACCGAAATTCCGAAATGCGTTTTCGTTTCGAAAAGAGTAATTAAGTAGGGTTTTAAAACTAATCAGTTTGCATTATAATTATATAATATTTCAGTTACCTCAGGATGCCGGCTTTCGAACGAACTTCCTTCCGGCTGCATGCAAAAACAACACTCTGCAAAAACTGACTGTTTAAGTAGCGTGCATTTATCTCACTGATTTTCGATGCCCCTAAAAGTCAAATTATATTTCATGGAAAACATGGATAAAAATATCCATTCTTTCCCTCATTCGGTAGAAAATTGCGTTTTCTTCTAATTTTATACCCAAAGGAAAGGTATTATTCGGTTTTCAAAAACTTATCCAATTCCCGAATAATTTTGAACCCGTTCTACCTTTACATATCGATTCAGGGTTTCCAAACTACAAGCAGTATATTTTCCGCGTACGGAAAACAACACATTTCTTTACGGTAATAAAGGGGGACCATATAGGTTTCATGAATTTTAGCAGTGGATTTGATCCATATTGTCCACTTTACAAGCCACATTCGTAAATGCAGAGACATGACGTTTTATGCACGGCCATTTCACGGTATTAAAAGGTCTCACAATTAGAAACTTTTTAAAACCGAATTATTTCCTTCCTTCGAGTATGATATTGGAAGTAGAGGTAATTTTCTACCGAATGAGGGAAAGAATGAATATTTTTATGCATCTTTTCCATGAAATATAATTGAACTTTTAGGGGCATCGAAAATCAATGAGGAAACTGCATGCTACTTAAGTGGTCATTTTTTATAAAGTTAAGTTTTTGCACGCAGCCGGAAGGAAGTT